TGTTGGACCTGTTTTGTTTGACGTTTTGCTATTAGAACTCATCGACCATCTACCGGCTGCTTCCACTCCTTGCCTGAAGACACCTCGCACAGCAAGAATCTTTCAGTGTGGAACCCCAGGGTTCACCTCCCGGGAAAGATCGAATCCCAGTTAGGGCGGTTGGTACCTTCCAGTGGACTCACCACCTAGAGGAAGGTTCAGGGGGGGGTTGGTACGGTGCAGTGGGATTTGGGTGACGGTCATGGAGACTGCAAAATTGATTTGGTGAGTCCCGGTTAGTGAAAGAGCTACGTATTATTTTCTTTCTATTTTGAAGTCTAACATTTTCCTTATCGTGCAAGTCGTCTCTGTAAAAGCCAATCTTTAAAGTCGAATTGTCATTTTAACTTAACGATTCTACGCGAAAGCTTCGGCGTCCGGTCCTCGGAAGTGTGCGCCTGCCGCCGCTGCCTGTGGCTGATCAACATTCACCAGAGGTTTAGCCTCATGTTGCGCTCCAACGCACAAACACAGTCGCTGGCGTAGGATGTTGCAGCGAGTTGGCAGGGTGAGGCCGCAGTTGGCATGTCCCCGCATGGACACGGTAAAGGACCAGATGCCCTCTCACTAGTCCTTTGGTGCTCCCACAGGCAGGGACATATGCCAGAGGGAGAGCTGGCACCTTCACTTCCTCTTCTGCCCCAGGGCTCTTCTTAATCCATGCCTCCCCTTCCTTCTCTGACTCCTTGCATCTTTTATGTTTCTTCCGTCATCTCTTCACACCTTTCGCCACGCTGCTTTTTCCTGCTCCGTTCCCGGCCCAGATGTATTCTCTGTCACCTCAAAATCCAACCAGCTTCACTGTACCTTCTGCCTCCTCTGTGCATGTGACAGTGAATTATACTCCGCATACAGTGAGACCATAGCAGCCAAATAGGGTAAGGAACGGAGGCATGCCCGAGGACAGTAGCACAGTTGTACAGTCCATGATGAGGACACTTGAGTCACACGAGGGTTACCACTTCTTCCTCTCCTCGTTTCCGCCTCTAGTTTTCACCCATCATTTCACCGGTACCACTTCTTCCTCTCCTCGTTTCTGCCTCTAGTTTTCACCCATCATTTCACCCATTTTCTTGCCTCTTATCATTCCTGTCTTTTATTTCCTCCTCTGTTCAACTTCTTTGTTTGCATACTCTTTTTTGACTGCACTGGTGGTCAGGACAGATATTCTCATTCTGTGGAATGAGATCAGAATTAGACGCCTATCCCAAGAACATTCCGCAGGCCTGTCATGGTTATTGACGTAATGAGGAAAATCTGACGGTGATGTGATTCTGATAAGAATGGAAATCAGTCGTTGTGTTAATCGACTTTTCTTGCAGGCTAAAGCTAAAGTTAGCCTGGAAATATATATATAAAGTTTAAAGTTAATTTCTGATGGATGATGTTGATTAGAAAAAAGTTCAGACCATCTTACTGGGACTTAGATCTAGAATCAGCCTGAATCGGATTGTAGACTTTAGTTATTTTATTCGGATTTTTCCCATTTTTTAACTCGCCTTTTCTGGCAGAATCACCAGGCTTGATGATTATATCTGGTCCCGAAGAGATCTCTTTTCTTTGTTTTCGATGTTTTCTTAATTGAATTATTATTATATTTCTGAGTTAATTGAATTTTACTTTACAATCATTGGATTTAATTTGTTTCTTTTTTGATACTTGATTTGATTGATTCACCCTTTTAGTCATTTTAGTTTATTTTGAATTTGATGCATTGATATTACTGCTGTGAGCTTAGCCCTTGCCAATTCTGCAATAAAGCATTAATTCCTAAAATTCCAATTCCTAAAGCTGCAGACACTGGCCTTCTTGCCTCTTAAGGATGGTAATATCAATTCAATGGTTCTTAAAAGGTTTCTTTGTCCGTTTGGTTTACAGCAGGTCCACATTTGGCCTGCGGGCCTTATGTTTGACACATACAGTATGGTTTAGTGGAAGCAGGGCTGACCTGAGTGGAGGAAGACGGTGAATGTCTGAACGTGGGGCCGGGGCTCGGACCCTTTTAACGGAGTCCATGTACAATTTGCATACAGATGTAACTGTATATGTGTGTTTCTCCATTTCAGAGTGTCTGTATGCTGACAGAAGAGGCAGAGCGAGGCCAGGGTCTGTGTGATGAGAGTCACAGAGACAGAAGAAAGACCGATACATGTATCAAAGCCTGCTCTCTCCTTTTTCCTCTCCTTTGTGTTGTGGCCATCAAAGACTTTTATAGCCCTCCCAGCATCCCACAGGATTGGCCTCTTATGTAAGAGCACAACAGCTGAGGAAGAGGAGGTGGCAGGGGAGGAGAGGAGGGAGGAGATAGACTAAATATTTCTAAGAAATTCTCCCTTTTCATCTTGCTTTTTTTGGTCCTAATTTATGCCATAATTAAACCTGACCTCCTTTAACTCACTTTCATTTGGTTTGTTAATACACCACAGAGAATCCACAGTAAAAAAAAATAGAACAATTCCAACCTGTACTTTGCATGTGCTATCGTTCACTCATATATTTTTTTTCATACGTCTTTTGTCGCTGCTTTTGCATACGGTACGATTACCTAAAATTCGCAGTGACTTCAAACGTGGTTAACTTCAGTGCAGCTTCCTTCTGTTTTTTTAATGAAGGGATTAAAATGCTTGGAAAGTGCCATTTAATCCAGCTCTAAACTGCTCTCTGGCTGGGCTGAATTCTGATGAGCTAAGCAGCTGCTGAGGCACAACAGTCTAATGTACAGCTGCACAGCATTCCTCCAGGTATTTTAGGAGGATAACATCTCGTTAATGTAGCATGCCTTGGTTAAAAAATATATGCTGGGGCAGGACAGAACTGAAGGTAAATCAAATGTACCGCCAATTGGACAAATGTAGCGCGCAGCTTGTTGAAAGAAAACGATTCCGTAAATTGCAATTTGGCCTTGAGGGTTAATTATTTAAATAATTACATTACATTTCCACTAAAAAGATATCACTTAGGGGTGTCAAACATATGGCCCTTGGACGCATTACATTTCCACTAAAAAGATACCACTTAGGGGTGTCAAACATATGGCCCGTGGACCAAAACTGGCCCGCTTTGGGTTTTAATCCGGCCTGAAAATAAAAATATACTCAAAAACTTCATGTTTTCTAATACTGTAATAAGTAATAAGATTTATCTAACTTATTTTTTTGCATGACATGATTGTACTGGTGCTTGACATCTAATTATGTTTCATGCGTCCCCTGAACCAAGTGAGTTTGACACCCCCGGTATACGTCCTTCATGTATCACTTAACACAAATACTTCTAAGGGGGGGAAAAATATTGCTCCAGTTTAGGTTTACACACCTTCAAGTCTTTGCAGAATGAGACGGAGTTGTGAACTGAAATGATAACTAATGAAGCTGTGCACACTTCAAAACACAAAGACAGACGGTAAATCTCCGCTGTACGGAGTTGCACACGTTTTACATCATCCGTCAATCAAATCCAACTGTTTCCTGTCGTTCCCTGCTTGGCTTTTACCTCTGAAGCCAGCACAGAGGTAAAAAAAAAAACAAAAAAAAAAAAACAAAAAAAACTTTTTCTCCCTGAACTGTTCACACCGAGTCACTGAATTCCCACATAGATCAGGCAGTTTAAAAAACAGCTTCTGTTCGCTGCTTGCTTCTCCCTGCAAGTTAAATCATGGCATTTAGGCAGCCTTCAATGAGCAACAGGGTGAATGTGTGTGTGTCTCAGAGTTCATGAGGTCACAGCAAAAGAAGAGAGGACTTCAACGTGTTTCTCCCATGGCCATGATCATTTTTCTTAACAGGTTTTTGATTTTCAGAATATTTCCCCCCGCTACAGCCTCCAGTGGGAAGCACACAGAGCATGTTGGACAGATTGGATTTGATCAGTCTGCACCGCACCACTCTGAATGCGAAAACGGGACAAAATTACACAATCGTTCTCAAGGTGACAAGATGAGTAAGTGTCTGCTGAATATATAGGAGCAGCCAAGTACACGGGCTGCCTGCTCGGCCAAGAACAATACTGCGGAACTGTCTCGCCATTTCAGTGCTGTAGACACACACACACATACACGGAAGGAACAGAATTTGTGTGAACTAAACAGGCTTTCGTTGCAGAGACGGAGCTGACGGTACTTCAATAAAAGAAACATTCCGTTTACATTAAACTTCATCATAAAAGGTGTCTCATTTCAGTAACTGAAACACGGTAGGACTCGTCCCCCAGTCCTTTCCAGTTTCCACGTGCTGAGTTCTGCTATGTTTTATCAGCTTTTGTGTCAATTAAAAATACTTTTTTTTTGATGAGCAAAATGGAATATTTAACACAACTGGGATGATTTAGTTCATATTGTTGAAGTTTTTCAGCAGAGCACCACCAAAAAACCCTGAAATTATACTTAGCTTGATTTTCCAAAGGGAATTCTCTAGACCTGGCATGGGCAAACTAAGGCCCGGGGGCCGGATGCGGCCCGTTGAGCTTTTTAATCCGGCCCACCAAACATTTCTAAATTATATATATTTATTTATATTATCATTATACTCCTGCCTTTCTCCTGCAATACCCACGTTTCCCCAATAGATGGCATAGAAAGTGATAGAAAATGACTTCACACAAAGGCTACATCTATCTGCTCCTGACCCAGAAAACTGAATTTTGCAGTAAGTAAAATGAGAGAAGCAGAATAGACTGTACACCGTCATAACACCATATTAGTTAATATAACATTTTTAAAAAATTACTAGAAATGTTGAAAACATGTAGCCTCCATATTAACATGTTGGCTACTGCAGAGAGGCGGAATATGGAATGAAAGTTATTTCAGTCTAAGCTGACACTGAAATAGTGAGTATTTAGATCAGGGGTGTCAAACATACGACCCGTGGGCCAAATCCAGCCCACTTGATGAATTTTGAAAATAAAAAAACACAACTCATGATCTCGAAAATTCGAATTCAATAAATACGACATTTCTTCTGATTTATTTGTACTTCAAATGGAAAAAAACATTGTTATTTGTGGGTCATTTTGTTACGATTGTACTAATCCAGCGCACTTGACATCTTATTAGGTTGTAGTGACACCCTTGATTTAACTATACACTGTACGTCACCCTCAGAGAAAAGACCATTTCCAGGTAACTTACCAGTATTTTGGTGGTGTAGGCGCTGTTGATGGCGATGGAATTAATCATTAGCTCCAATGTCCTGGGAGGCAGGGCTCCGGGATCTGGGATTTCTTTGTAGTGCATGTCTCCCACGTAAAGCTGCACCGCTGTCATGCGGTTGGTCGTCAGCGTGCCTGTCTTGTCAGAGCAGATAGCGGTGGCGTTGCCCATCGTTTCGCACGCATCCAGGTGACGCACCAGGTTGTTGTCTTTCATCATTTTCTGTTGGATACAGCATGAAGATTGGAGGAGAAATGGCTTCCCTTTGTATTACATCCACTACGTTCCTGCATGTAACACTGTATTTCTCAGACTTTAAGTCGAGCTTTTTTCTAGTAGTTTTGGTCTAATAATCAGGATAGACTTTCGGCAACAACTTAACTGCTTGGAATTCATATATGCACCCGCTGAGTACAAACTGTTCGACCGTGTGTGAAGTGTGCCATTGCTCACCTTGACAGAATACGCCAGTGAAATGGTGACAGCCAGTGGCAGCCCCTCTGGCACGGCAACCACCAAGACAGTCACACCGATGATGAAGAACTTGACAAAGAACTGGACGTAAACGGGGGTGCACTCAGGCAGCCAGGCTCGCTTCTGCATCACAAAGGTGTCGATGGCAAAATACAGGACCAGGACGATGACAGTAATGGCTGACATGAGCAGACCTGAAAGAAGGACGGAGGAGCCTCTGAGAAAGGACGAAGGGCCGTTTGATTGATTTGTCCATGTGGAAAAAAGAAATCTGACAGCCGCAAATCTAACACTCGGGCCGCTGAAACTCCAGGTGTAACCGGACAATTTGCTGCTACTCACAGACTCGCCATTAGGTGTCCAAACATCTAACACGCTGACATTTAAACTGATTTCCATTGCCTTGGTGCATACGTGTCAAACTCAAGGCCCGGGGGCCAAATGTGGCCCGCCAAGCCATTTTGTGTGGCCCGCGGGAGCTTAAAAAGCATTTAATAAA